GATCGGATTAGACTTGTAATTAAAATAAATTTGCACATGTGAAATTTTTGAGCCAATCTATTTAAACTTAATATTATTTTTTTTTAGAAATTTTACTTAAATCATAAAAGCATAAAATAACATTTGAGAAAAATAACATGTATGAAAACAGAGAGAAACTATTTTTTTAGAAAAAAAGTTTTGAATTTTTTTATCAGTTTAATCGGTTTCTATGGTATGAAATATCTAAAACGCTACTTAAACTAATATAAAAAAATAAAACTTTCAAACCAACTATTTTTTTTTATAGCACAAACCAACCAATTTAAACTAATTAAAGTAAACTCTCTTAATATAAACAAGGACAAGAAATCCAAGTTGTCAACTTAGGGCACAAATTTATTAATTATGAGTCTAGTCTAGCTGGTATTGTTATTGTCATTATTAGTATAATACAATAGTAAGTTTGACTAGGACTAACGGTTTTGGATCGGATATACACTAGGGGCGTTCATGATCGGTTGACCAAAAAAAAAACCTCCAACCAAAACAAAAAATGTTAATTATTGATCGGTTCAGTTAGTTTGAAGTTTTTAATTAAGAGAAACCATTCCATTTATAATCAGTTTGGGCGATTTGATTTGATCGGATTAGACTTGTAATTAAAATAAATTTGCACATGTGAAATTTTTTAGCCAATCTATTTAAACTTAATATTATTTTTTTTAGAAATTTTACTTAAATCATAAAAGCATAAAATAACAATTGAGAAAAATAACATGTATGAAGACAGAGAGAAACTATTTTTTTAGAAAAAAAGTTTTGAATTTTTTTTTATCAGTTTAATCGGTTTCTATGGTATGAAATATCTAAAACGCTACTTAAACCAATTTAAAAAAAATAAAACTTTGAAACCAACTTTTTTTTTTATAGTACAAACCAACGAATTTAAACTAATTAAAGTAAACTCTCTTAATATAAACAAGGACAAGAAATCCAAGTTGTCAACTTAGGGCAGCTTACAATTTTATCCAGCTACCACAAAGCAATGGTTTCTTTTTTTCTTTTTTGTTTTGAATATTTCTAGTTATGGTTGCTCCACAAAACTCATTTCTTGTAATAAAAGTGAGAAAAATGGTGCTTTTGGCTTTACGACTACATTATGATTAGTAGCCACATTAGGTCTTTTAAGACGGGACAACCCATCGTTTTACAGGCTGTGATCAACAACTTGCCAACCTGTGGTCACATACACACATACATATTTACTTTTATGTGTGTGAATATATATACAACTTACATAAATATATATGTGTGTGTGTGTATATATATATAATAATAATAATAAGTTAATTAGCTCCTTTTATGGCCTATTGCCATGCATGCCACACAAGTCAACACAATCTTAGCTTTGTTCTTAGTTTGGTTTCATTATGTTTTGGACCATACAATAAAAAATAATTAATCACATTTGTAACTTTTGGCTATAGTAGCTATTTCCACACCAAAAAAAAAAAAAAAGGAAAGAAAAGAAAGAAAAGGCTCATGATTAATCACATTTAAAACTTGTGGCTACTTTTACAAGTTATTGTTGATAATATTATTGAGTTTTAATACTTCTTTGATTGGACTTATTGGGACTTCATTTTTAAAGGGTGAATCTATAGGCCATGATGCTGTCACTGTCCCAAATACAAACATATGAGCAAAATATGACTCCCCCGTGACACAATAATGCAGCCAATTAGAAAATAAGAATAAAAGTGAAATTTCTAGCCAAAAAAAAAAAAAAAAAGAAAGAAAAAAGTTAAATTGTCTCATTTGAAGATTTTATTCCGTAAGTATCTAAAACCAACAGTGGAGATTTAAAAGAAAGTCAGTTGTCTGTTTGCAGGATTTCGGAGTTACTTTGTTCCTATACCGAACGCCCTATCTGGTGGACATAGTCAGAGAATCAGTTGGACGTGTTCTGAGGCTGGACTCCATTGAGAGTGGCAATGCGTGGAAAGGGATGGATATGCTGATCTTCAACACGTGGCACTGGTGGCTCCACAGAGGAAGATCTCAGCCGTACGTTCTTGTCAACTCTCATTGTTAGTCCAAAATAAATAAATAAATAAAGCATCGTTACATCTCAATTCGAATCAACGAACTAAACAGCCCTAAATAATAATGTTTTACTTTTTCCCCAATCTGATGATGACGGTTTGTCGTTGACCTCTTGTTTTTATGTGCTTGCATTTGCATGGCAGATGGGATTATTTGAGAGAAGGGAATAACTTGTATAAAGACATGGACCGTCTAACTGCATTTTACAAGGGGTTGAGTACGTGGGCAAGATGGGTTGATCTCAACGTTGATCCTTCAAAGACCAAAGTCTTCTTTCAGGGAATTTCTCCCACCCATTATCAGTAAGTGCAAAACCATAATCTAGGATAAAATGCATAATCGAGAAACCCGCACTAGTTTTGAACTCGGGCTCACAAAGTGAGTTTAAAGAATTTCTGGATATCGACCATTATCAGTAAGTGCAAAACCATAATCTAGGATAAAATGCATAATCGATAAACCCGCACTAGTTTTGAACTCGGGCTCACAAAGTGAGTTTAAAGAATTTCTGGATATCGAAAAAAAAAGGCGGAGAAACTAGCATTGACTACTAACGATACTCGAATTGAAGTTTCAAATAATTATGAGTATTGCATAAATAAATGATGCTTAAAAGAGCCTTACTCAATAAAGCAATGCTATTCATCACCATTTGAGTTAAAAAGGTGTCAAATGATACCAAACAGGTTCCACATTCTCATGGTGTGCTAGGTGTAACCTCTTTCAGAAAATCTTTCATACTGAGATGATTCTCATGTTGCCAAATGCCATTTAACAGGGGCAAGGAATGGAACCAGCCGAAGAATAATTGCAACGGACAACTTGAACCTTTGGCTGGGTCAACATACCCTGCAGGTGCACCTCCAGAAGTTGGCGTAGTGACCAGAGTGTTGAGCACGATGAAGAAACCAGTTTATCTGCTAGACATCACCACACTCTCACAGCTGAGGAAAGATGCTCATCCCTCGGCTTACAGCGGGGATCATTCCGGGAACGACTGCAGCCACTGGTGTCTTCCAGGATTGCCGGACACTTGGAACCAGCTCCTGTATGCAGCGCTTTCCTGAACTCGATACTGAACTACAACTTCATCTTCTGCGTTTATGTAGAATTGTTTGTACACCAATTTGGCGACTCGAAATTTCTCATTGATAGATGTGTCATAAATTAAGGATGGTACAGAAACAAACTGTAAAGAGATTGATCGTTTAACCAGAATAATGTGTTGGGAGTGGACAGATAGAAACCGATAATGTGTTGGGAGTGGACAGATAGAAACCGATCACGTTACCGTGCAAAGGCATTGTAATTGTGAATTTCGGTAGGTGGGAAAGGACTTAGTTGAGAATAAACTTGGCTCCTCTGATCCTAGTTGGAACTTTTTCTGTAAGTTTGGTTTTATTATTGTAGTTAATAAATGTTGTTCAGACTGTTGGATGTTAGAAGAAATTATCAATAAAAGAAAGCATTGCAATGAAAAGAAGAAAACTCTAATGTCAATGTGGATGAAAGCAAACAAGCTAGTAACCAACATAAACTGCTGCGTTTACTATGTAACAATCATCATTCTTATCTCCCATTTCCTCCACGTGCACACCACTTGAGCATATCAGTCCACCATCCACGACTTCAACATTCAAAATTTTACCACTGCATTTAATTTCAGACCAAAGGATCAGTGACGAGAAGAAAAGGCCCGGAGATTAGTGAATATACAGTATATTTCATAGGTTATAGAAATAGGAAGATTAACTTTAGTTTATTGCGTATAACTAGAAGGTGTAGAAAGAATTGTTTGTCAAGTCTTGCAAATTGCAAGTGTGTATATCTTCATTAGGACAACAGAATGTTAAATCAATGAGCGGTTTGGTTAGTGCAAGAATTCATGACAAATAGGAATAAGGAGATGGATTACTAAGGGGAAAAAAAAATCGTGAAAAGAAGGGGATTATTAGTGTCATCCTGTCCCCCGCTCCCTTTGTCAATAACAGAAATCTCGGTAGCCAAGAGAATGCAAAGAATATGATCCAATTCTACGCAAAGGATGGACTTCGTTTCACTCCCACACCACAGATACAACACCTCACAGCCCATTTTGTTCCTTGGGAAAGCATGCAACTGTAGTAAATTGATTTTGCTGGTGCAAGAATTCATGACCCATAGGAAAAAATTGGGTAATCAATTAGTTAAACAAACTTCTCTACCATGCCATGGCTACACGTAGCGATACTAGTCTACAAGTAGGAAAAGCCTAGATGCAATATGATCTTCTCTTGTAATATCTTTTCCCCTTAGAATTGCTGAACCATGGTTATCTATATTAAAATCTATTTGTGACTTTAGACTGCACTCGTGAAAGCATTCTATCGTAGGTCAGAGAAGAAGCATTGTGGAAACAGATTCTACTAATGGATTTTAGAAAACTTAAGAACATTCCTCCTTTAAGGTTACTTTTAAGAGCTACTGATAGAATCTTGAATGAACAATACAGCAGAGGAGATAAAAATATCAGTAAAAGAAAATTAGTACGATGGAAATACTCACTAAGGAAAGACTGATTTGACTCTTTCAACATCCAAAGAGTGTTGCAGAGAATGAGGCACACCTAGCTTGATCTGCAGCTTCATCTGCTCAAATGAAACGCCAGGTATTGATCCTGCATAACATAACACAACAAATAATAAATGAATTTCCTTAACACACGTGAAAAGGCCACTTTTTTTCCAAACTCGGAACTAGTCTTAAAACGCCAAAAAACCAGAATTATTATGCAGAATTCGAAAGTGAAAAACAGGGTTACAGCATCCACACTGTTAAATGAGTATCCTGGCTTATGATTTTCTGCGAAAGAGCTTCACAAAGAGCCCATGTTCCACTTCTCAAAACCGAGAAGTAGACCAAGACAGCAGAGAAAATCGGATGCGGCACATGAAATAAGACAACGACGAATCGTGATTCACTAAACAGATTATTGAAATTGTATCCCTTAATTCTTTCTTATCTTCCCAATTCTCTATTTCTTTTGATGTTGAGACAATTCTTTGATGAGGTGGAAGCTGATGTGGCAGTCTTGTTACAAGTAGATAACATGCAGAATATTTTTCTTCTCTTTTGTTAAGTCGGTTAGCCATTTATTCTTTGTTAATGCTGTAATATAAATAACAGAGGATAGAGTTTGTTAGGCGGTGATTCTTTTCTGTTCTGTTATGTGTAAAGAGAGAGAAAGGGAAGTAGGAGAAACAGAGAGAGAGAATCAGGGAACAATAGGGCTGTGAGGGGAAAATTCATGAAGCTCTGTCTGTGATTGTACTGATTTCTTGTATTGTTTCTTAATTCATGAAGACTTTCAATAAAGTGTTTCTAGTTTTCTTTGGTTGATTCTCGGTTGAAGAGATTGGCCTCAAATTCTTGGTGTTCTTCATATTTCCTGGTTGCTGTTAGTAATTGATCTTGGAGTTTGCTATTGAGTTGTTTCTTCTCTGATTACACACAACAATTGGTATCAGAGCCTCCATTAATGGCGGCCAAGACGAGTTTTGCAAGGTTCGACATCGAGAAATTTACAGGGAGAAATGACTTCGGCTTATGGAGAGTCAAGATGCGGGCATTGCTGATTCAACAGGGATTGCAAGATGCTCTCGGAGGAGAGAAGAATCTTGCGAGCACACTCTCAGATCAAGAAAAGAAGGAGGTAATGGAAAAGGCGCACAGTGCGATCATTCTCAGTCTTGGCGACAGAGTCTTGAGAGAAGTGTCAAAGGAGAAGACAGCAGCAGCAGTTTGGCAAAAGCTCGAAAATCTATACATGACAAGATCCCTAGCAAATCGTCTGTTCTTGAAAAGAAGACTTCATACCTTTCAAATATCTCTAGGTAAATCCATCCTTGGCCATCTGGATGATTTTAATAAAATTATCTTGGATCTGGAGAATATAGATGTGAAGGTAGTATTGCTCAGTTCATTAACTGGGCAGTATGAGAATTTTGTAGATACAATGATATACGGAAGGGAAAGACTGACACTCGAGGAAGGACAATCACGT